CATAGCATACCATACCATACCATACCATACCATACCATACCATACCACACCATTTTATTTATAAACCACTTAAAAAGAGCAACAAGGCCAACCAAAGTGCTGCATGAATGTTTTAGTCTGTGGGAGGAAACAGGAATACCTGGAGAAAACTCGTGCAGTCACAGAGAAAACATGCAAACTCCACCCAGAAAGGTCTCTGGCTGAGATGCGATCTGGCAACCTTCTCACTGAGAGGCAATAACAACTGAGCCTGTGCTTTTAATGCAGCTCTATCATATTAAGACAAAGTGGTCATGTATTATTCAGAGACAAACTAAATGAAATAATTGGGTTTTGTACACTGTAAAGAGTTATATACCTCAAAACAAACTAAAACAAATAAAAATGAAAGGCTAAGCATTCCTTGAAGGTATGAAATTACCTGTTGCTTTTCATGACAGAGTTTTAAACTAAAAACATCTTATGCTGATAAATAGAGATGAATGCAGGAGATCAGGGTGTAACAATTTATGTCAAACTTTGAAAATGCCAGGTTTTAGATAAATATCTGTAAATCTGTCTGTGGTGACTGTCTTGAATTAACTTAAATGGAAGATTAACATAAAATGTTATGATCCAGCCATTATCTTTACCCGCTTATTCCATTTTGTGTCACGGGGGTCACCGGTGCCCATGTCCAGCGGCCGCAAGTCCATCACAGGGCCAATTGTCGTGATGCTTGCTCAATAATCCCGGAAGATAAATCTAACAAGCTTATGTCAGGTTCCAGAGGACATGACTCAACCTTTAGAGTGAACTGAAACTGTTCTAAATTATCTGTATTCAATGTGAAACATCTTTAGCATATCTTGCTAAGTTTTCATCTTTACTGCGTAACTATTCAAACAAGCACCGGTAATTACTTTATCTGTGAAGCTTTGAAATAATGTTTGAACATCAACAGCATCCTGCTTTGAATAGATTTAATTTACTGATCATTCTGTCAAAAGTTGTTTTTTTGGAAGCACTATCCTTCAAGATCCTAGAATACCCTTAGGTAGAGAACTTTTACTAATTGGCTTTTGTATGTGGATGTTTTTGTACGGTGCCCTGAAACAACTTCTGTTGCGATTTGGTGCTATATAAATAAACTGAACTGAAGTTGAATGAACATTCTGGTGAAATGTTTGTCACTAGGTTTATTTAGTGTGAATGCCTGAGCAAATGTTGAGCAACATTTGTGTGGTTTATCAAAAAGCACATTCATACATTTTAATGGGAAGTCCAAGATTTGCTTCAGCAAGTCTCACGAGTTCCTTCATTAAACTGCACAATATGACCTGGTGTTTTGTAACCGCTTTTATCTCATGGTGAAAATCCTGTGACTTTGTTATTTTTGTTATTTTTACGTAGAACAGAAATCATTACAGGATGTATATTTCATAAACTCCCCAGATTTCATATGCCTGTTTTATGTCCATCTTTGTTCTTGGCTCCTCTGCTCTGTGCTGTTTCGTGTGGCTTTGATCATAAAAGAGCAGCGGTTGAATAAGGAACTCCTGGAACACACTGCATCACATCTGGGGGATTTATAAACACACAGCAAGATACATTATTGATCCACTTCTAATTCTAAACAAGTTTTGTGTTTCAAACTGATCATGACAATCATTTTTATTTCTATAGAGTGAAGAATGTTACAAGTGATGCGTACAGACCAGTTAGAAAAGAACA